CAGGTGGCATCATTGATGGACTCAAGTGTGTCAGCGGTGGTGAGGTTGGCCCAGGATCGGACATTGTTTCGTTCTGCTGTGCATGGGGTTGCTATGAGTTGGTTCTGACTCGATGGCACCTGACAACAACAACAACATATATATATATACACACATATACACACACATACACACACATATATGGAGCTCTGGTGTGGCACTGTCAGCTAATGTTCTGGACTTCAAGGTCGGTTTGAACTAAGGTTGGTGGTTCAAACCCACCAGTTGTCCCTTGGAAGCCCTACACAGGGTCATTGTGAATTGGAACTGAGTTGGTGGTACTTAGCAACAACAACAACACACACATATATATCTGGAGTCCTGTTGTGGTGCTGTAGGAGAAGCACTCCACCTCAAGGTTAGTTTGAACCATAACGTCAGCAGTTCAAACTCACCAGCTGCTCAACGGAAACCCTATATAGGTTTGCTATGGATCAGAACCGTCTTGATGACATTTAACAACAACACACACACATATATGCATAGAGAGAGAGAGAGAAACTCCTATGTATATGGTCGTGGTGGTGATTATGTGCTGGGGAGTCAGTTCTGACTCACAGCAACCCTGTATAGGGCTTTCAAGGCTGTAAATATTTATGGGAGCAGAAAGCCTCATCTTTCTCTGGCAGAAAAGCTGGTAGTTTTGAACTGCTGGTCACTGGACTGTGAACCACAAGGTCAACAGTGTTTGAACTGACTCAACAGTGCTTAAAAACAACTGGTTGATGCATCAGCACTGGACTATGAACCACCTTACACAGGATCACTATGAGTTGGAACCAGCTCAATGACACTTAACAACAACAGCTATATACATGTATATACTCAAGTCCAAAGAATCGAGACCAGTGATGACAGGCCAGATGTAGGATCCAAAAGCTAGGAAGCTTTGCTGGAATGTCCATAGGATGCAGGCCACACCCCGATGGGCTGTCAACTGATTGGCTGTTCATGGGTCTCACCCTGGAGGCAATTACACCATATCAAAGCCTTCATGGAGAATCACCATACCATTGCATCATTGCCAAACCAGAGAAACATGGCCCCACTAAATGGGCACACAGCCTTAAACCATCCCAGTCCCCATCAACGTGGCCTCTATACATCTCTCCTTAAACCATAATCTCAAAATAAAACAATTATAAAGTCATCCTTGCACCTAACATGACACGACTAACAAAAGTACAACTGCAAATGCACTCACCCCATTTACATCTTGTATTTGATAAGAAAACAAAAAATATTTTATGCAAAGAAGAAATCCTCATAATAATTACAGTCTTCATTTCTGTCACTGGCCAGGGGGTTGTAGCTGGCATCTACCACCTGTTCCATATTCCCGCTGCCCCCAACAAACACCTCCGCTGGTCATTATTCTTTGCCTGGTGATGTGACCCAAACCCCCATCCCTAAACGCACAGAAGTAATCTGGTTTGGGTTGGTTTGCTGTAAATTTCCATTGACTTTAGTCACAGGACATGGTAGTACTAGGAGGCGTCTTATAGAACCTGCTGGATTCCAGACAAACTTTTCTTTATCACCACTATAAAATAGCCGCTTGACTTCCACTGGGTAGTCAGGATCAATAGTACCAGCTAAAACCGAAGCATGAGTTCTCAAAGTGACGGCGTAGTATCCCTAATTCAGTGAACTTAGTATCGCGTCTCTACGTGCGAGTATTCAGATGCAGAAAGCATTGGAAGTCAGAACTCCAAACCTGCAGAGCATAGGATCGCAGGGGCAGGAAGCAATGTTTTTCCAAGTGTGTCACTAGGGGTGATAGTGAGTGTTGCCACTCCATTTCCATCCCTTGGTTCCTGGACTCAAGAATCCTGGCTATGAAAGAACCAGGGCCATAATTGGATACTGGTCTAGAGCACATAAAGCCTCCCGGAGAAACACTGCCCCAACACTGCAGTGTCTTTAGAAGGCCATTCCATTTCTCTATCAGGTTTCCTGCTTCAGGATGACGGGGAATTCATTGGAAGACCAATGAATTCATGAGCAAGGGCCCACTGTAATCCTTCATTTGTTATGAAGGGAGTCCCTTGATCCAAGGCAACACTGTGTGGGATAGTGTCTTAGTTCTCTAGAGCTGCTATAACAGAAAGACCGTAACAAACAGGAATTTATTCTCTCACGCTTTAGGAGGTTAGAAGTCCACACTCAGAATACCGGCTCTAGAGGAAGGCTCTCTCTCTGTCAGCTCTGGATGAGGGTCCTTGCCTCCTTTCAGCGTCTGTGCGTCCAGTCTTACTTGGCCATCTCCTTGTGTCTTGGCATCAATCTCTCTCTGGATCTAGGAGCTTCATAGTGCAGAGAGACCAGTTCCAAGGACTCACTGCACTCTGGCTCTTCTTTCTTGGTGGGAGTAGATCCCTTTTTCTCTGCTCACTTCTCTCCTTCTATGTCTCAAAAAGAAACTCAAGATAAATCCTAATCCTGTGGATTGCAGCTAACCTCATTAACATCACGTTGTTGTCATTGTTAGGTGCTGGCAAGTCAGTGCAGACTCATAGCAACCCTACGCCAATAGAAAACACTGCCCGGACCTACACCATCCTTGGAACTGTCATGTGTGAGCCCTTGTTGCTGTCATTCTTGTTGAGGGTCTTTCTCTTCTTTGCTGACCCTCTGCTTCTCCAAGCATGATGTCCTTCTGCAGGGACCGGTCCCTTCTGATAATATGTCCAAAGTACAAGAGTTCAAGTCTCGCTGTCCTCACTTCTAAGGAAGTGACTGTACTTCTTCCAAGACAGGTTGTTTGTTTTTAGGGCAGTCCATGGTACTTTCAATATTCTTCAACATCATAGTTCAAATGCATAGATTCTTCTACAGTCTTCCTTACTCATTGTCGGATTTTCATATACAAATGAGATGATTGAAAATATGATGGCTTGCATCCGGTGCACTGTAGTCCTCAAACTGACATCTTTGCTCTTG